TAAAATGAACTAAGAATGACTTAGTGATGGGATAAATAGTTTAAGAAATAGACATGATAAATTTTTCATATAATAAATGTAATACTTCATCTGCTTGTTGAAATACATGTATATTTTGAATAAAAATACAAAATTTTGTTTATCATCAAATAAATATATATTCAAATAGTAGATAATAAATACAAACATAAACATTGAATAACTTGATTCTTGATTAATGTCAAATGATCTGCTGGATTTTATTGGGCTGTATTATCGCTACATTTAATAATTAGATATAGAATAATTTTGCCTATAGATAGGTGATTAAGCTGCCATCTCTTAATAAATTGCATTGGGGTATGAAACTCAAACCTTCAACAATAAATAAGTTGTGGATTCAACTCCTGCTCTGGGCCAATTCTTTTCTTTCAGAACTTTCTAAATTAAATATTAATCTATTTATAATTATTAAATTTATTACAAGATGGCAACTTAATTGCCTACCTCTAGGCAAAATTACTCTATCTAATTATTAAATGTAGCTATAATATAGCCTAATATAATCCAGCATATCAATTGGTGGACAGTATATATTTACTTAAAGATAGATGATACATATTTATCATATAATAAATATAATGTAATAAAGATTTTTTTTCTCAATACTGAAAAATTTTGAGATGTAATCATGAATCTTTTACTAGATGATTAAGAACAATCGTTTATAAATATCTATAAAATATTTGTGGTAAACATTTACTAATGTTTTCTTATAATTTTCATCTTGGATACTTTTAATGAATGGCATTAAAGAAAGGTTGTTTAATAGGTATGATATAACATTGAAGAGAAGAAAGATGAATAAAAGTTGATAAAATAGAAATTTCTTGTTTTATGCAAGATAACTATTTCATATATGTATTCTTTTTAAAAATTTTTATTAATTTTTCTTTTATAAAATTTTAAGTTATCTAAAAGAAATATTGATTGAACTTAAAGTCAAATTAAAACAATTCAAATATGCTTTGTGAAAAACTTACAATTTTGTTCTATTTTCTGCAGATATATGAATGTACTGTACATTGAACTTTTTAATCATCTGGTCTTTATAACTGTGGTTAATTCGGAATCAGCGGAGAGACACTTAGATGAAACATATTACACTGGTTAAGGTATCTTCCTTTAATCTATGAATTATAGTACAAGAGTCTTTACATAGCAGTAGGACGAACGTCCGCACGTGTCGACAGACAGTAGTTCGAACAAAGGAACAGGTTAAGACAAAGGGTCACAAAACCTTTTGTTAGGTTATTGGGTAGGTCCCTCTAGTGGGTCAAATTGGTTTGCGTCGAGAGTATCGACACCTCCCCTCAATTTGATATCACGGTGGACCTTCTATGGGTCCGATACCCATGTTGGCAACGCACGACCGGTGCTTGTTCGAAAACAATGGTTTGGTTAGAACGTCGGCCGGCATCTCGCTGGTCGGTAGATATTTGATGTCTACGTCTCTGCGTTCGAGAGCCTCCCGGATGAAGTGATGTCGTATCCCGATGTGTTTAGTTCGTGAGTGAAAGATCGGGTTTCTGGCAAGTTTCTGGGCGCTCTGATTGTCGTTGTATATCGTTATGGGATGATCTGATCTTGAGTGAACGTTGCAGAGAAGGTTTTTAAGGTGGATTGCTTCCTTTGCTGCTTCGGTTAGTCCGATGTATTCGGCTTCAGTTGAGCTGAGTGCGACGGTACGTTGTTTTCGTGATTCCCAACTCACTACTGCGCCTGCGAGCATGAACATATAGCCTGTGTAGCTGCGTCGATCATTCGGACATGCTCCCCAATCGGCATCTACATAACCTTCGAGTGGTTTACCTGTTTTTTTGAATGTGATTCCGTAGTCGGCAGTATATTTGAGGTAGCGAAGCACTCGTTTTGCTGCTTGCCAGTGGGTATGATTGTAGCAAGTGTTGAATTGGCTCAACATGCTGACAGTGTAGGCAATGTCAGGGCGAGTACCGACGGCGAGATACATAAGTGTGCCGATAAGGTTTTGATATGGAATTTTTCTCCGTTCACTTTCAGAAAGGCTTTCTTCTTCGCTCGGTTTTAGTAGTTTGGAATTTCCGTCGAGTGGAGTAGCGATGGGTTTGCATTCTTCCATGCCGAAACGTTTTAAGATATCTAGAATGTATTGCTTCTGAGACATGGTGATTTCTTTCTTCCCCTCCTTTTCGGTCTGGGAGAACTCGATACCCAGAGCCCAGTGAATTGGTCCCATGTCGCGCAATCTAAAAATTGTGCCGAGTTCAGATTTTATCTTATTGAGCTGTGCTTTGTCGTTGCACGCTATTATCAAGTCGTCGACATAAATGGCTACTATGGTGATGTACCCATCATGTTTTGTCATGTAGAGGCAAGGGTCGACGTCAATGGGTTGAAATCCCAGTTTGTGTAACTGTGAATCCAGTTTTTTGTGCCACTGGCGACCTGCTTGCTTTAGGCCGTAGATGGCTCTATTTAATTTACATGCCTTAGGTTTTCCATCTTTAAGTTGCTGTGACCATTCAATAGCTCGTTGTCGTACTGCTTTGGGTTCAGATTGGTCGTTTATAATGTTCTCGAGTGTTTCATTTAGTTGGCTTGGAATTTTCATGAAGATGTTTTCTTGGATATCACCGTTTAGGAATGCTGTTGTAACGTCGAGTTGGTGGACTTCGAGATCAAGTTCGGCTGCCAGTGCCATGACTGTTCGAATGGAACTGAGTCGGGCTACAGGAGCGAATGTTTCTTCGTAGTCTATACCGCCTTTTTGAGTGTATCCTTTGGCGACTAATCGTGCTTTACGTCGCTCCAGCGTTCCGTCGGGGTTGAATTTGTTTCGTAGGACCAGTCTGCATCCGATTGGTTTTCTATTGAGTGGTACGTCTACGATATCCCATGAATTATTTTCTAGCAATGAGCTGATTTCCCTTTGGATGGCAGCTTTCCATTCGTCGGCTTCGGGGCTGTGTATTGCTTGGTGTAGCGGAACTTCAGCTATACCAGCGAAATGACGAGTGATGTTGACTTGTTCATCGTTTGCTTTATCATTGCCATCTTGTGGGTTTATAGGGATCATGTGGTATTGTTTTGAGGGTCTACCGCGACTCCTAGTTTTTAGTTTGAGCGGTCGTCCCGGTCCTCTTCTCATGGACGGTTGATCATCCTGTGTTTCAGGGACTTCTGCCGTTTGCGTGTGGATGCTGGCAGGTTGACGTGGGACGTCAGTTTCTGTGTTGTTGATTTGAGTTTGCCGGGTGGTTACCTCTATTGAATCAAGTCGATTCGTAGTGGTGGGAGAGTTGTTTTCTATGGTCGAATGGTTGATGAAGTCTTCAAAAGAATCGGTGTTTGAAATTTTTTCAATAAACTTGACATCTCGAGAGGTGGTTACTCTCCTTTCACCATCGAGGATAACACGATATGCTTTTGAGGTTTCGGAGTAGCCTACAAATGTGCAAGATTGAGCACGTGGATCGAATTTACCTTTACTGGGATTTTTGTTTAGAATGAAGGCTTTTGTTCCAAAGGTATGAAAATGGCTGACATCAGGAATTTTTCTTTTGAATAGTTCGTATGGAGTCTTGCCATCTATGCTTTGGGACGGAGATCGGTTTCGAATATGATTGGCTGTGAATATGGCTTCAGCCCAATAGGTGGTAGGAGTATGTGCATGGATCATCATGCATCGCGCCATCTCTACTAGTGTTCGATTTTTGCGCTCGGCGACTCCATTTTGTTGTGGGGTTCTTGCAGTTGATGTTCGATGCGTTATTCCCTGTCGTCTGAGGAAGGCACTCATATCCTTGCTGCAGTATTCGCCTCCATTATCGCTCTGGATGGCTTTTATTTTTAACCCAGTTTGATTTTCTAGGTAGGCTTTGACGTCTTTTAGCGTCTCAAATAGTTCGTCCTTAGTCTTTAGAAAACGTACCTCAGTCCATCGAGTAAAATCATCAATGAATGTAACGAAATAAAGTGATCCTCCAAGAGATCTCTTCCGCATAGGTCCGCATATATCTGTGTGAATGATTTCGAGTGGTCGGCTCGTCCTTTTGACAAGGGAATGGGGAAAAGGCAGGCGTGACATCTTTCCCGCAATGCATGTCTCGCACGTATCAAGCATATCTTCCCTGTCAAATTTTAGGCCAGTGACCCCTCCTTGATCTAACAATTTTTTCAGTGCGGTAGCGTGAAGATGACCGAATCTTTCGTGCCATATTTTTAGTCCATTGATTGGAGATTTTTCTTTGGAAATGTGGATTCGATCGTTCCGAGGTACTACGTAGTAGAGATTACCAATGCGGTCCGCTACTGTGGCTGTTGTTCCCTTTGAGTCGATGACTCGTGCTTTGAACTTATCGAATATTACTTTATATCCTTTGTCTGTTATTTTGGAGACTGATAAGAGGTTTGTGCGAAGTGATGGCACATGGAGAGTGTTTAGCAGGTCAAACGATCGTTCCTGTGTGCCAGTATCAACGTGAATTTGGGCTGTGCCAACTGCATCGATGGATATGGTTTGGTCATTAGCGAGATCCAATTTTGTGTTAGGAGTAGTTCTCAAGTCTGAAAATTTTCTTTGGTCAGAACACATGTGGGATGTGGCTCCGCTGTCGAGACACCAAGCATCACATGGCATTCCAGTGTGAAAAGTAGACTCACGTGTAAAAAAGGTTCCGCTGTCGGGTTTGCTGGATCTCGGTTGATTTTCTTGTCTCTTCTTTTTACGACAATCTCGTTCTCTGTGGCCAGGTTTTTTGCAAAAATTACATCGCAGTTTCGATCCTTGATAGCGGACGGTAAGCGCATCATTATTTTGCGATTCGCAGGAAGGTCGTCCTTCGTATTCCTCAAAGATCTTAACTTTTAGGGTTTCGAGCTTCGGAAGGTTGTCTCTCGTTTCGATCGCAGTGTGAAATGTATTGAAACTGTTGGGTAAGCTGTATAGCAACAACACTGAGAGAAGTTCCTCGTTCACTATGATTCCNGGTACATTTATAATAATGTCTGCAAAATCCAATTGCCTCACACACGCAATAAATTTAATAATAATTTTATTTTATTAAAAAGTATAAATACATACAAAACAAATTTAAACTTAAATATTTTTTAATTTGTTTTGTTTACATAATTTTGTATTAATTTTTTTACTTAGATTTTTTAAAGAAAATTAAAAGTTTTTAGTAGTTTTTAATTAGGAATTTACTCATATTTAGTTCTCTGTTTACAAGAATACTAAATGAGAAATGTGAAAACAATGAATGGTGCAAAGTTGTTGGTGGATGGTGTGATTTAAAAATAAACAGATGTGCTTGTAAGGATGGATACGTTCCTATTCATGTATTAACATGTTTTCCAGGTAGAGCCAATAATTATAATTTATTTTGTCCAAAATGTTTTTGTAAGAATGGTGTTTTATAACTTTTATTTCTATTTATTGATTTAATCAACATATGCTAATTTGAGTGTGATATAAATGTTAATATATCTAGGTAATGTGTACATTCTAAAGATAATTTTATCTTTTGATTGTACACATTAGATATTACTCATATTTCCCTGACAAATTCTAGTAAAGTTTAATCTGAAGTTAGTCTAGGCCTATTTATTTCAAATTTTGAGTTTTGTTTAAATTTTACCAATAATTTTTACTACAAATTTTAAATTTTATTAAAAAAAAGCTGAACAAAATAATAAATTATTAAATGATATTATAGTAATAAGCAAGGGCATATTGACTTTTACATTTCAATATGATTTTCTTCTTTTTCCATTAGGAAATATTGTATAACCTAATTTAAAAATTTTAATAGTAGTAATAATATTGATAAATTTAATTTTAATTGAAAATTTTTAAATTACATTATATAGTATTTTTTAGATAATATAAATTCTCAAAATATTGATTTAAAAATTATAAGCAAAATTATATTTTTTTGTAATGTATAATGCATTTTTTTGCAAGTTTCATTATTACTAAATTTAAATTTAGGTTTAATTTTAATTTCTTAAATTAGGTTATAACATTTTTCCTGGCAAAAAATAGCTTTGAAATATGAAAATCAATACTGACTATTTTGATAAATTCTAACAATTTAATGATGGAGAGCCAAATATATAAACACAAAGAAAATCACTAGGCCTATATTAAATCTATGATTTAATATAGTGATTTTCTATGTTCTATGATTTAAAAATACTATTTCCTCTTGTTCTTTTATGTATTTTATGTATTAATGTTTGATTAAGAACAACTTGAGAAAGGCTTATAAATGACTGAAAATGTTCGTTCTGAATAAATCTGAGTTGCTGGAATTTCTAAGGTGTATTCTTTACTGTAATTATTTGTGTATCCAGTTGGTTTTTTAAGACTTTAATCACTTTATGTAGTTTTATTTGAAATTAAGTAAATTATATTATTATTAATAAAGTTTGAATAGCTTTTAATAATTAGCTATAAATAATAACTTTTTTGTTGAATTATGATGATAATTTGTCAGGAAAACCTAAGAATCTATATAAAATAAAAAACATCTTGTTTTATTAAATTGTAATTATTTATCTGAGCAACTCTGTCAATGAAAAATACAACTGACTTTTTCATAATTTATTTCTATAAAATCATACTTATTTTAAAAAATTTCACTTCAACATTTTCCATATAAATCAATCAAACATTTAGATCTTTTAATCCAAATTTAATATGATAAAGCACATTTTAAAAATTTATTTAATATTATTTATCATTTAATGAATTTCTAATTGATTCATATCTTATTCTTTGATCTGATTAATAATCTTGTCTTTTGATTTTATCTTGTTTGCATCATAAATTATAGAAACTTTATGTCCATTGTGGTCATACAAGATGTGTATTGTCAAATGCTAAAGCAACATCCATACAGTTTTTTAAAAAATGAGTGTATTTGTCTAGTTTTTAAGTGGTGATTTAACCAATCATGAAAAGAATGATAAACAATTTAGTTATTTATTACTAATTCTACTTTAAATAGAGATGATATATTTTCTGTTTATTTCTAATTTATTCTCATTTTAATTAGCAAAAAATGATAATTTACATTTTGTTTTACATTGTTGTGAGTAATAAGTTAAGAATGTTTTGGAGAATGTTTATGAACTGGTGATTTGTTTGATTTATAAAATGAACTAAGAATGACTTAGTGATGGGATAAATAGTTTAAGAAATAGACATGATAAATTTTTCATATAATAAATGTAATACTTCATCTGCTTGTTGAAATACATGTATATTTTGAATAAAAATACAAAATTTTGTTTATCATCAAATAAATATATATTCAAATAGTAGATAATAAATACAAACATAAACATTGAATAACTTGATTCTTGATTAATGTCAAATGATCTGCTGGATTTTATTGGGCTGTATTATCGCTACATTTAATAATTAGATATAGAATAATTTTGCCTATAGATAGGTGATTAAGCTGCCATCTCTTAATAAATTGCATTGGGGTATGAAACTCAAACCTTCAACAATAAATAAGTTGTGGATTCAACTCCTGCTCTGGGCCAATTCTTTTCTTTCAGAACTTTCTAAATTAAATATTAATCTATTTATAATTATTAAATTTATTACAAGATGGCAACTTAATTGCCTACCTCTAGGCAAAATTACTCTATCTAATTATTAAATGTAGCTATAATATAGCCTAATATAATCCAGCATATCAATTGGTGGACAGTATATATTTACTTAAAGATAGATGATACATATTTATCATATAATAAATATAATGTAATAAAGATTTTTTTTCTCAATACTGAAAAATTTTGAGATGTAATCATGAATCTTTTACTAGATGATTAAGAACAATCGTTTATAAATATCTATAAAATATTTGTGGTAAACATTTACTAATGTTTTCTTATAATTTTCATCTTGGATACTTTTAATGAATGGCATTAAAGAAAGGTTGTTTAATAGGTATGATATAACATTGAAGAGAAGAAAGATGAATAAAAGTTGATAAAATAGAAATTTCTTGTTTTATGCAAGATAACTATTTCATATATGTATTCTTTTTAAAAATTTTTATTAATTTTTCTTTTATAAAATTTTAAGTTATCTAAAAGAAATATTGATTGAACTTAAAGTCAAATTAAAACAATTCAAATATGCTTTGTGAAAAACTTACAATTTTGTTCTATTTTCTGCAGATATATGAATGTACTGTACATTGAACTTTTTAATCATCTGGTCTTTATAACTGTGGTTAATTCGGAATCAGCGGAGAGACACTTAGATGAAACATATTACACTGGTTAAGGTATCTTCCTTTAATCTATGAATTATAGTACAAGAGTCTTTACATAGCAGTAGGACGAACGTCCGCACGTGTCGACAGACAGTAGTTCGAACAAAGGAACAGGTTAAGACAAAGGGTCACAAAACCTTTTGTTAGGTTATTGGGTAGGTCCCTCTAGTGGGTCAAATTGGTTTGCGTCGAGAGTATCGACACCTCCCCTCAATTTGATATCACGGTGGACCTTCTATGGGTCCGATACCCATGTTGGCAATGCACGACCGGTGCTTGTTCAAAAACAATGGTTTGGTTAGAACGTCGGCCGGCATCTCGCTGGTCGGTAGATATTTGATGTCTACGTCTCTGCGTTCGAGAGCCTCCCGGATGAAGTGATGTCGTATCCCGATATGTTTTGTGCGAGAATGAAAGATCGGGTTTCTGGCAAGTTTCTGGGTGCTCTGATTGTCGTTATATATCGTTATGGGATGATCTGGTCTTGAGTGAACGTTGCAGAGAAGGTTTTTAAGGTGGATTGCTTCCTTTGTTGCTTCGGTTAGTCCGATGTATTCGGCTTCAGTTGAGCTGAGTGCGACGGTACGTTGTTTTCGTGATTCCCAACTCACTACTGCGCCTGCGAGCATGAACATATAGCCCGTGTAGCTGCGTCGATCATTCGGACATGCTCCCAAATCAGCATCCACATAGCCTTCGAGTGGTTTACCTGTTTTTTTTAATGTGATTCCGTAGTCGGCAGTGCATTTGAGGTAGTGGAGCACTCGTTTTGCTGCTTGCCAGTGGGTATGGTTGTAGCAAGTGTTGAATTGGCTCAACATGCTGACAGTGTAGGCAATGTCAGGGCGAGTACCGACGGCGAGATACATAAGTGTGCCGATAAGGTTTTGATATGGAATTTTTCTCTGTTCACTTTCAGAAAGGCTTTCTTCTTCGCTCGGTTTTAGTAGTTTGGAATTTCTGTTGAGTGGAGTAGCGATGGGTTTGCATTCTTCCATGCCGAAACGTTTTAAGATATCTAGAATGTATTGCTTCTGAGACATGGTGATTTCTTTCTTCCCCTCCCTTTTCGGTCTGGGAGAACTCGATACCCAGAGCCCAGTGAATTGGTCCCATGTCGCGCAATCTAAAAATTGTGTTGAGTTCAGATTTTATCTTATTGAGCTGTGCTTTGTCGTTGCACGCTATTATCAAGTCGTCGACATAAATGGCTACTATGGTGATGTACCCATCATTTTTTGTCATATAGAGGCAAGGGTCGACGTCAATGGGTTGAAATCCCAGTTTGTGTAACTGTGAATCCAGTTTTTTGTGCCACTGGCGATCTGCTTGTTTTAGGCTGTAGATGGCTCTATTTAATTTACATGCCTTAGGTTTTCCATCTTTAAGTTGCTGTGACCATTCAATAGCTCGTTGTCGTACTGCTTTGGGTTCAGATTGGTCATTTATAATATTCTCGAGTGTTTCATTTAGTTGGCTTGGAATTTTCATGAAGATGTTTTCTTAGATATCACCGTTTAGGAATACTGTTGTAACGTCGAGTTGGTGGACTTCGAGATCAAGTTCAGCTGCCAGTGCCATGACTGTTCGAATGGAACTGAGTTGGGCTACAGGAGCGAATGTTTCTTCGTAGTCTATACCGCCTTTTTGAGTGTATCCTTTGGCGACTAATCGTGCTTTACGTCGCTCCAGCGTTCCGTCGGGGTTGAACTTGTTTCGTAGGACCAGTCTGCATCCGATTGGTTTTCTATTGAGTGGTACGTCTACGATATCCCATGAATTATTTTCTAGCAATGAGCTGATTTCCCTTTGGATGGCAGCTTTCCATTCGTCGGCTTCGGGGCTGTGTATTGCTTGGTGTAGCGGAACTTCAGCTATACCAGCGAAATGACGAGTGATGTTGACTTGTTCATCGTTTGCTTTATCATTGCCATCTTGTGGGTTTATAGGGATCATGTGGTATTGTTTTGAGGGTCTACCGCGACTCCTAGTTTTTAGTTTGAGCGGTCGTCCCGGTCCTCTTCTCATGGACGGTTGATCATCCTGTGTTTCAGGGACT